CGCTTACACAATATAAATTGTCGTAGAATAGTAGACTTGTCGCGTGGATGACACAAAAAACCAACTCCGCATCATGTCAAAATCTACTGTATTGCTATGTTTGCTATCGAAGTCTGCGTCTCCGTCAAGAAAAGTAAAAGCAAGATAATAATTCATTTTAAGGTGAATAGATTAGGGTGTAAGCCTGTTTGATAGGTGCCTTTGCAAAGAGAGGGAGTGCGCCCACTAATGAGACTTCGTTGTCCTTATATTTTCCAGATGGTTACATAGAGAATTGATGTTAAACGAGGCGCCACGATATAATCTTCGAGAAATAACGCGTGTGTGCTAAAACGTAGTGATTATATTCTTTCTAGGGCCTAATTAACGGAGACTGCGGGGAAACAGACACCAGCAAAACAAGATTGGAGTGGCATTCATACATTGTTCCGATCATGGACAATTTATACATACATAATGATAAGATTAGGGGCACGCTCGGTATTCATTTTCATTTCAAATGAAAGACATACGAACGACATAATTTGCGATATTTAGTTAAACTCATGCTCGTGGCAAACTTATTTATACATTACACAATATACTTATTTATATATACATATTATAGCGAACGCATGGGAAGTTCATTGGCCGTGAAAAAGGGGCTCCTAGGAGGAGAGGGGAGTTGATCCCCGGCAGAGGGTTGCTGAGGCGGCCAGTGCTGGCACGGTCGCGGAAATGAGCGAAAGCGTTCCCGTGGCCTTGCCGATATGCGCCTAGGTGGAAAATCGTGGTGGTTTTGGAATGGTGGAAAGTCGGTCCGACATAACCCGCTGTTGACCCCGCCAGGGCGGGTGTACGTGTAATCACAGTCTACTTTAATTGAAGCGTTAACTGCCACTTGGCGCCAAAAGATATGAAGTGAAGGTCAATTTACATATTTAAAAGTGGTACAAATCAACTGAATGCATATACTTTCTCAATTAAATATTTCCAGTGTAACAGTTGAATTTTGGGCAAATGTAGGTAAATAACTTTAACTTTGGCGTAATTCAATTTTGAACGATAGAGAAAAATCACTATTTACCCTAATCTCTTTCATCATCATCATCAACCGCAAGACGTCCACTATTGAACATAGGCCTCCCCCTTAAGCGGCCCATTCACTATCCTGCCTAGTATTCCACCGTGCAGGCCTAAAAAGGTTAGTGAGATCAAACCTTATAGTAATTATGTGCAAGTGGGAACTTTCCTACGAGAATGGTTGCATTATGCGTGGTCATAAAATCGTTCTCCCTGACACGTTACGGAATAGTGTTATATCAGAGTTACATACATCGCACTTGGGCATTGTTAAGACAAAAGCTGAAGCACGCACGCGGTTTTGGCCCACACACTATCCTACAAGCCGTCCATCGTCTCTTAATAGTGTCAGTGTTTTTGTTGTAATAATTATGGATGTACGTGTCGTTTCGAAAGAAAAAGAAAATAGCGATTCTGCTATGTTTGTTTTGTTCTTAGATAAAAGTTTTTATTAATAAATAACCTTTCCTCACATTATCATACTAATATACATAAAATTTAAGCAATAACCTAAGATTTTCTCAAGTTCAACTATTTCAGTATAAAATAGTTTTTTTAGCTTAGTTTAAGTTATCACATCAGTCGGGCGTCCCGGGATGCACACGTTTTCGTTTTGTTTAAAATAAAGTACCTAGTCCTGTGTAGATTTTTTTCTAAAATGTGAATAAAATTTAATTTCTAAAAATATTTCTAAAAAAACCTCCTAAATAATTTCTATTGTAAATATTTACTGTCTAAATTTACGAAAAAAACTCCTAAGTTAGCATCCAATTTTCGTATAATATAGCGTAATTTTAATAAAGGTTTAGTGCACCTTGTTTTCTTCATATGGCAGCACTGCCGCTATGCAGGACGGCCAAACCACGGGCGCTCCTGCGCGGTGGACTGCAAGTGGTGGGCGGAGCTTGCAGGTCCCTTGCAGGATGCAATGCGCGTCCTGCTTGGTGTTGCCAGAAACTATGCAGGCCTGCAACACCATTCACGATCCTGCATAGAGCGGCGGACTGCACGGTGGACTACCAGGCAGGATAGTGAATGGGCCCCTTTAGAACGCCACAATGATCGACACTTTGCCATTTCACATTTGCATCCACCGGTTGCTCGGGACTCTTATGATGTTGTCAGTCCACCTAGAGGGAGGCCTTCTAATGCTACGTCTCATTAGCTGCTTAATATTGGCAGAAAGTTTGTAACAGCTGTCATTATGAGGAAAAACAAATCAATCAAACGTGACATCACTATGACAGTTCTACGAAAGACTAGGCGGTATGGTCGAAAGACTATAGCCGTCATAGGCGAAAAGAAAAAGAAAATCATTATGACAGTTGACATTGACAGGTACTTGTTGATAAAGTACTTGAATAGAATTACAATTTACGCTTGTTAGTGACTTACATTAATAGTATACCAAACACAAACAGTGATAAATAAGTTGTGACAGGTAACTATCAGTGAATTGCAAACATTAAAAATGTAATGGAAATTTAATCTTTTTACAATTTTGTGTGCAGTTGATGATTTCGCATCAAAATCCCGTAACGTTGTAAGATATGCCTGGTAATGTTTTTAAGTGTGCAAATTGTATAAAAATGGATTACAATGTAGAAGACGGACTTTTACCGAGGGAATTTATCGAATATGATTTTGCCGAAGATGCTTTGGACTTCGAGGTTAGGTGTTAAGATAATTGCTGTATACGGCTTTTTCAAATGTTTTGCATACCGCATCGTATAATTATGTATTTAACGCTTCATATCAATTACATTTGATATCGACTTTCAGAACTCACAACTGACCTCACTGAATAATGATATAATAACTATATCTGATATAGTTATTAATCTAGTTAAGGAAAAAGATTCTTTGAGTAATAATGGTATCCATCACATATTCTGCTTTTTGAATATAAGGGTTTTCATATATATTGCCTTTTTTTTACATTTTAAATTCATGGAATTCTAAAGCTACCTGTAAGTTTTTGAAAATTGTTAAAAAAAATAAAACAATTTTACTTTGGAGTAAAGTGAACAGATTCATTGAGATTCTAATAAAATTTATCATACTTATATTAAATATATATTGAAATATAGTATATAAAAACTGCCTTCAAACATTTCAAAAACTTAAGCTCTTAAAGTGTGTTAGATAGATCCAAGACAGCTTTATTAAATTTTCATGGCTTTACTTTTACTTACATAGATAGGTAAGGCTCATTTAGATAAAACTAGGTGCTACATTAACATGATGCATGTTAAGTAGACTCTAGACTACCTTACTTTTTTGCAGCTTTGCATTTACTTACTCATTTAATAATGCATTTGAATTTAACACCAGTGCAAAAGTAAATTATGAAATTAGTAATAAGTATCTAAATAAAATAATTATGAAAGTTTTGAATTCCAGATTTATATTCCAAAACATGTTCTAAACTCTGAAGTAGAGGTGTTATAACATTAATCTGCTGCAAAAGACTATCAATGATTGCAAGATTTATGACTGGTTTCAATATCCTATCTACAGATAAGTTTGTTTACTAGCAATAGGTATTTGATATTAGCTTCGTAACACTTAACAATATTCACCAAATCAATCTGAAGATAGAATATTGAAATGGCCGTTAGGGATCTAATCTAATCTTAATGGGAAAATTTTGAAAATTGGGCTCTGGCCACCTCACTCACCAGAAGAAAAGTTGCCAAGTGAGCAGAGGTTCACCTGATGTTAAGTGAATACCACTGACCATGGACATCTGCTACACCCGAGGGTTCCAGATGCTTTGACAATCTTTTGAAAATTGGCCTCTGGCCACCTCACTCACCAGGCGAAACACGAAAGTATTATACTCCCTCTTTATGCTGGTCTTCTGTGAGGTTGTGGTACATACCCGGAGGAGTTTGCCAAATAGCCAAGGCTGCTGCGTGGCCCTACCACGGAAATAAACACACAGTTTGTGTTGTGTTCATTTAAATAAACACTTTTTTGTTCATCATTTGAGTACATATATTCCAGTGCTATCTTTATGATAAGAAAAATCTATTTCAATTTTTTTTTATGTGAGAAGGTGGCAATGAAACTGATGTTTCACTTGATGTGATAACCGCCGCCTATTGAAATTTGTAACACCCGTAGGGTTGCAGATGCATTGCCACCTTATTATAAATTAGGCCAAGCTACCATACATCAGACGAAATGCAAAAAAGCACAACACTTCTACTTTGCACTGATTTTCTGTGAGGTTGTTAACCAGACAGACCTGCCCATTTGTGCAACAGCAAAGACTGTTGCATGGCTCTTTCACCAATTTCAATCATTTAATAATTTTTGCATGAGTCTAAAATGAATCCTTTAGTATTTATTTTATCAAATTATGGTAAGTTACAGGTTTAGTCGTAGTAACGTTGAACATTAATATTTTTCGGGCTATGTTATTGCACAAAAAATTAGAATATAATAAAAATAAAACTATTAATTAACTCTCTCCAAGTGAATTTTTCAAAACTCAGATTTAAGGCTAAACTCACTTTAGCTTCATTTTAACTTTATATTTCGAAATTACCTGTGTATTAGATAGGTGTCCTATGATTAAATAAAGCATTATTTATATAATAGTTTATGTATAACATATTGTAAACAGGAGGCTGTTCAACATCATTCTTTACTTGTCACATATTAAGCATGACAACTTGTTGCTTTACAATTTATGCAAACAACCATACTATGAAAGAAAGAGAAGTCCGATAGTCCGCCGCAATTGTGTGGGTGCGGCGTGCCTACCGAGAACTGGCGATATGTCACATCCACAATACAAGTCTCGTGGGTTGTAGACGTAACTAGGACGTTAATAGCGCTCGTGCGAATAATGTTGTGAGAATGCGGTGCCGCTGATTTAATTCGTTATAGTATTTTGGATGGCCAGTGAACTAGTTTTGTGAATTATCATGGTCTGTGGCGGTAGATGCGGCTGCGGTGCATTATGTCGACGTTTGTTTTGCCGCGCTCGCTCACGAAATGGTAGTGTTAACGGAGAATCTGTGCCTGTCACCTTGGTAATGAAATAACTTTGAAATATGTAAATGTATTTCTTACTGCACCCATCCTGCATTTAATAGGCTCTTCATTATGCACATTTTTGAGATAAGGAATAGAACAAGTAAATTTTATTAAGGCATTTTATCAAGGCCAATAATTTTGGGATTCATTAAACCAGATAATATTGGGGGAGTTTAGACTTATATTTCACTGCTTCATTAAAATATGTGGGTAGACATTAATATTGGAAAAAAAATACTAGTTAACTTAACTTTAATTTTTCTCTTACTTTTACCGTTTCCTTATGAATCACGACTTCAATGTCGTTGTCAAACAGGCATCATCGACCTGCTATCAAAAATCTATCGTACATGTGTCTATCGTATGTCCATTATAACATAAAAAAATTACAAAAAAGGCATTATATCGACTATAAATGAATATATGAGCAGCTAACCGTATTATTTAAAATTATCCGCCTTCTAGGAATCGAACACCGACCAATTTTGAAACGAGCCTCCTGAACCCATGATCCACAAAGCAAATCGGTTTAGACTAATTCCATTTTATAACTGGAAGCTTAAAATATTATTAATTAATTAAATGTGAACCCGTCATTCCTCATAAACGTAATTTTATTTTCGCCTGAAACTGAATGTTTGAGATGATGTCATCGCACTTTTACAACCGACCCGTTTTCCCGCAATAAAACTGTAACCGTTGTGCCCAGTTCGAGGCTCTGTTTGCAGACTAATAATGATATCGATTACCTTCCCTCACGCAATTTACCGACCCCAGTTTTATAGTTTAGTTTAAGCAATAACTTTGCCGTTAGTCATTCTAGGTATTCAGTGAAACAATGTTACTTATCACATATTTGTTGTTGCGCTGATGTTAAGAGTAAAAGGCATATTTTTATTTTATAACATTAAAACAAACATACATACACATGTACCAAAAAATCTCGACAATGTCCTGATAAATATTCAGCCATTTATTTTGTGTAAGTACATACCTACATATTTTACTGCACCTGACAAGCTTATGGCATATAAGGTTTTTTATTAATTTCGAAATATTGATTCTAATCAAAGTTGAATGATCTTATGTTAATATACAGCCTTTAGGTTATTAAGATTTAATAAAATTAAGATTATTAATAAAGAACAAAAGTTGCGCGATATTTCTCTTCTCGAAGACATCGGTACACGTAGTCCATTGAAAAAGACCGTGGTCATTGACAGATTGATATTCACGCCACAACGCCTTACCTCCAGTCTCCTTATTAAACAAACCCTGGCACCAATTACAGACAATCTATTACGCGATGACTTCATACTTATGATTCAACTTGGTGCACAGGTAACTCGCGTTGCTTTAAGGTTACTTTAGTTTAGTTATAAAAAAACTAATTTCAACAGTTTTATATATAGCAGCTGTGGTAGTGCACGCGGATTTGGCATTGAGCCATTGCCTCGATTATTTGTATGACAGCAACGCGCGCCTCAATATTACAAGATTTATTTATCTGATAACGGTTGTTAAGATCGACTGACTTAATTTTTAGGTTTCCTTACCCAAGGGGTAAAACGAGAACCCTATTATTAACATTTCACTGTCTGTCTGTCTGTCTGTCCGTTTGTCACCAGGCTGTATCTCATGAACCATACGTTGTTAGACAGTTGAAACTGTCACACATGATGTATTTCTGTTGGCGATATAAGAACAAATACTAAAAAACCGAATAAATAAATATTAAAGTAGGGCTCTCATACAACAGACATGATATTTTTGCCGTTTTTATTGATAATGGTACGGATCTCTTCGTGGCGGGTCCGACTCGCACTTGGCCGGTTTTACACTACAGAGTCCAAGGTCACGGTACATACTGTCCTTAAGATGTCTGTAACAGTTCGAATCGTTACGAATTATAATCAAATGAAGTGATAAAATTCGAAAAAAATTATTGTCTTACTTTATTACACGTTATTTTATTACGTTTAAAAGTCATCAGTTTCTATTAAGTCTCTTTGTGTCGAAAATTTGATTGAATTTAGAATTTGTACTTGGTTCTATAGTTTCTTTAGTAAGCATTATTAAATTTGAACAATACATTGTGAAATATATTTTTGGCACCATAATGTATGCACAATTGTCTCTGTAACTGTTGCGGACTTTGCGCTATATTCCCACGAAGTGTGTCCTTACTTAGTACTTCAGCTATATACAGCGTGTCGTTACCATCGCGACAATAAATGAACACACGAATAACGCTACTTGCCAATAATCATAAAAAAATATTAACGTTAAACAAAATCCATAATTAAAAAAAAATATTTTTCAAAAACTAATTAAGTAAAAAAGAAACTAACTTTGTAACATCCTATACAACTCGCGTCAACTACAAACCTCTCCTTCTAACAGTATGTTTTGTCTCTTTTAAATTCATTCAACCCATTCATATGCTTTGTGACCTTTACAAATGAACTTTACGTTACGCTTTTATAGGTAAGGTTGTTCTAAAATTCTTTGTTTTTGAAAATTTTATAACTCTGTAAATATTGATGTTTAAAGAATTTAAATGTTTAATACAACTTTAAAAAGTTATCCCCTATATGTGTGTTCATTTATTGTCGCGATGGTAACGACACGCTGTATAATTACGGTAAGAACTTGTTTGTCAAGTATTAATAAAAAGTTTAATCGACAGATTTGGAAAATCGTGCTGACCGTTCATTCAATTCGTTTAGAAATCAAATTATAAAGGTTTATATATTTTTTTACATCTGAAAAGGTTCAATATCAATTAATAGATATCATAGTCTTTTACATAAAAAACACAGTGGCTCCCGCTGTTTTTACGCTTAGATCTTTTAAACTACGCAACGGATTTTCGTGCAGTTTTCAGCAGTAGATAGAGTGATTCAAGAGGAAGGTTTATATGCAGTATACATGTATATTGTAGTGGAGAAAAGCCGAGAAATTTAAAAATAATATTTTTGTGCGCTTACATTGCAAACGCTGGATAAACCTTACGAGATAGATCAAGTTAATTTACTACTGAATTTTATACTTTAGAAAGATGCTTGCACTGTCTCATGAAAAAAACTGCTGTAAATATTGTATAGATACAAAGATATTCTGTAGTAAAGGCTAATCATAATATTATTAATCACTTCAAACCCACATTAGGGTAATATCTACTTTTCAGCCTTGCAAAGACGGGTAGGGTCGCTTAAGACAGTATATTGTACACTAACTTTTTTAATATTTGTGAACATATTGAGTGCATTTTATTTTTTGCTACAGAAGCAGTTGGCTGAGGCCCGAGACATAAAATTCACTCAGACTCTGACAGAGCCTTTAACTATCGGCTCCCATATTATATGCACGGGAACCCCCACTGAGGACTTACCATGGTAATTATTTAATTACGTGTTAATTGAACCTGGAAAATATTCTGTGTCTAACGTTATGTACACTGTGACTTACTTTAATGGGGCTTGACTTCCGTGTTGTTTAAAAACTGAGCATAAAAGGCACAGCCTTCGTGATTCGGGCTTAGGAACTATGACAAAAGTTGTTTATCACTGTAAAGTAAAGTAAATTAAAGTCCTCATTCAAATCAGTAGCGATTGGCTGAGAGAAAATACTGTCTCAAATAATATTCTTGTAACTACCTAGTTAATTTATATTATCTCACCTAAAGTTAAAGAAACCTCTTTTTCGGCTCCTATTTTGTTATATAGAGAAAGCTTAAGATTTCCTTAAAGCATTTTAGCACGAAAACTTAAGCCTTTAATTTATTATCATTTTTTTTTTCTGAAAATCAAATACAATTATATAGAAAGAATGGTTTAGGATTCAGGTTAGCACATATTCACCACTTCTCATACTAGTCAGGGTAAGTTTGCTTTAAAATACAAACAAAATATTGTTACGTTTTTAAAAACACGTAATATTTTATTAATATTAATATTTTATGTAACGGTAATCGAAACCAGAGATTGCTTCGTTAGAAGCGACTTTCTGCGTCTCGCTTCTAAAAGATCGGATATATACGTACGTGTAGGTGCAGCACACTTGAAAATCGCATGTCTGTTTTAATCGTACTTTGAAGTTATACTGATGTTGGCGCTTTTGAAAAAAAAAATACGAGAGAAAAATTTTTACGATGCGCTCGCGCACCGACAAGCAAAAAGCGACATGAATAAGGTTGTTTGTTGGTTGCAAAGTGACCGCTTTGCAACCAACAAACAACAACCTAACATACTTTTTTATTTTCAAAGGTTTGCCATAAATATTGGATGTGGAGACCCGGAATCGGGTCGAAACGATATCGCGGTACATTTCAACGTGCGCCTTCCACAGTGCTACGTTGTGAGGAACACGCGAAGGCACGACAAATGGGGATCTGAAGAGACCACCGCCTTTAGGTGGGTTCTTACAGATGAATATTTTAACCTGTGCTTAATAAAGGACAACGTGACCACGGAGCCAATACAAGAAAAGTGTTAAATACGTTCGAAACGAGTATAAGTCTTGTTCTAAAATTTACCCATTTCACGATCTTCATCATTTAAAAATTTAATTCCTTAATATAAATTTAAAAACGTACTTTATTACATTAAGTCAAAATACTTATTACTTCTCATTTATTAGACACGAAAAAGCAAACTAACTATTATACATGATAGCTAGCAATAGCTTTGTTAAAGATATCGGCAGTACCATACGAAATCATTAAACCGACTTTTGCAGGCTTTACAAATTGAAAAGACCGGACGAAAATTGTTTCAAATGGTAATACCGTCAAGATGTTTTTATCGGGTATTGCGCTAAGGTCGGAAAGCCGGGCCAATAATTCGTACTCGTTCTAAAACTGTACATGTAAACATCACAACATTATTTGCTGTAAATTCGTTGCCTAGCAAAAACGTTTTCTTTGGTTCATTAACATTTAGAAAGTAGGGAACATTTTGCAAAATAATACTTAAAAATAATAATTTTATAAAAGGTAAAATGATTAAGATGACTTGACATTGAAACATTTATTAAAGAAAAAAGAAGAAATAAAATAGTAGATAGAAATGTTTTAAAATGTGTCTTATATACCAAGGCATCACTTTAGTATATGCCTTATATTAAATGCTTTAATAAAAAAGTTAATTTAAAAAAAAAACTTATTTTGTATTTGGAACATTCTTATTTAAAAATATCTAATAATTATGGCTTATTTTCGTTCAACAGCAAAAAGTTTTACATAAATTAAGTTTTTTGGTTAAAATGTGTGTTCTAATTAACGTTCCCTCGAAGCTCGTTAGGGTAGGAGGGACTGACATTTAATTCGTATTTAGGGAGTGGCATTATACCATTTACTTAATGTTTTCGTATTGAGTTCAAATTTTGCTACTATGAAGTATAAAAAGAGTACACAAATACTTACGGTTCTATAGGGATTTAATTATTTATTAAATAATATCTTGAAAATGTGAGAAGATCCCAACATTATTAAAATATGTTTTGAATAGTGTTGGGATTTTAGAGACCATATTCGCTATTAAAATGTCACTAAGAATTATTTGAAACGTACTTATTAATAGTTTACTCTAAATATACCCAATATCTTTAGGTGAGTATAGACTACAAAATTTACTTGTAACGGTACAACGAGCCGCTCTATGATATGTTCTAGTGTATCATCCTTTCACGAACTAAACGTCGAGCACGCTCGCCTCTTTGTTACAAACCATATTGCATATTGGTGTAACATTTCGTCGAGCGTATTGGTGTATCATTTCGTCGAGCCACGAGTGCAGGCGATGCGCAAAAAAGAATGAACGCAAGGTACAACGAAATGTTGGTAAATGCACACTCGCTGTGAGCATTTACCCGTAACATAACGCCGAGCATTCGCAGGAACGTTACATTACACAGAAATGCTCCAGAAAATGTTGTAGTCTATACTCACCTTTTCAAAATCAAAAATGTCAGAATGTAAAAATGGTATGGAGTAAGGGCGGTTATTCACAATGTGGTAAATCTCTGCCCATTTAATGTGTCCTTGTATTTATGTATGTATTTATATCTAATTTATCTGCATTTGCTGAACCGGAAGACACACAAGCGGTCACTGATTATTACCACTGAACATGAATAGCCAATGCCTATATTTATTGCCAACTTTTAAGGGGTGAATCTATCACAAAATATGTATTTCTTTAAAGCATTAACTTATTTATGTATATGAGGTACGACCGATCACTACAAGTATTGGCAAATCAATTTTATTTTGATTTGTCCTACCGTGCGAAACTGGGGTGAGTAAGGCTATGAAGTAAGATAAAATGAAGCAGTGACGGTTAAATAAAACTATTTTACTGATTTTAATGGCGGTCGGTCACACCTAACGTAATTTTTCCACAATGTTTCTATCAAATTTTCCAAATTGTTTCAGTGGATGAGATTCTCAGTTAAACACCGTTTTTCTTTTGTCACAGATTCTCAGTTATTTTTCTTTTGTCACGCTAAAGAACTGTAACCCCTTACGTCCATAATAAAACACACACTTATTTTTAAGGTTCCGTACTGAAAGGGTAAAACGGGACCCTATTTAGTCCCTAGGCTGAGTCTTGTGAGCAGTTAAAGTTACACAGTTGAAATTTTCACAGATGATATACATATTTCCGATGCCGCTATAACGGCAAAAACTAAAAAAAAAAAACAATACAAAACATTTAAGTGGCTCCCATACCAAATACATGATTTTTTGCCGTTTTTATCGATAACCATCTGTCCCGGCAAAGGTTGTTTTGCCATATAAATTATTTGTGGGTAGAAAAAACTGTTTCGGGTGGACCACCCTTAACATTTAGGGGGATGAAAAATAGATGTTGTCCGTTTCTCCACCCTGGTCGATATGCACACAAAATTTCACGAAAATCGGTCGAGCCGTTTCGGAGGAGTCCAATTAACAAACCCCGTGACACGAGAATTTTATATATTAGAAGTGCTTCGTGCGCTAGTCCGACTCGCTCTATGCCGGTTTCATTTTTCTTTTACACAACAAATAATCCAAACGGCCACCGTCGCGCGCAGGCTGCGGCCGACGCTGCACTCGTTCGCGGTCGACCTGCTCGACGCGTGCCGCGAGTGGCCGCGCGCGAACGTGATCGCGCACGCGAACGTGCGCGCGCACTCGGACGCGCAGCTGCCCAGGCAGCTGGTCGTGCTGAACGCGTGGCTCGGCGGCTGGGGGCCCGAGCGGCGGCAGCGCACCGCGCGCCTGGTGCCCTCCACGCCGGTGCGCCACGAATTTGAACTTTAATACCGTGCCGTAAAGTTTAAGCTATGTTAGCGGACGGGTTCCGGGAGGGCAGGAAACAATTGAGTGACGTTAGTATCGTTTAAATATTAATGTCAATATTTAAACGATGGTGACTAAACTAAAATGTAAGCGTCTCTTTGCTGTGCGTCACTACATAGTAAATGGATGTTTATTATCAGAATAAGACATAGGCTATAATTTATATACATATTTTATGTAGTCTTTTTGTCTAAATGTTACACCTTAAGCCTATTTTACGCAGACAGTAAGCAGCAGTAATGAATATTTTAGGACATATTTTCAACCGACTTCAAAAGACGAGTGGGAGACCGCCACGCGAGCCCACTGACGATTTTTTTTAAGTCTCACTTCTTTAAATGTGAATCAATCTAGTGTTGTAGACGTCAAGGGCGGCAGTAATCACTTAACATACGGTGAACCGTATGCTCGCATCGCATGTTAACTTTTTAATTAAAAATAAAAAGAAAAAAATCAGAGCCATTCGTATTCAAAATCTACTGTCTTTAAAGTCTTAATACATAATTTTTATTGCAGACTACAATAAGGATTGTACGAGGCTCAGGAGAGTGGTCCGTTTATGCTGAAGATTTGCTCATCGGCGAGTTGGAGCATCGCGCTGCGCCCGACGGAGTCAAGGCGGTTCGAATACGAGGCGACCTCTACCCGGAGCAGATCTACATATGCCCGTCCAGCACTTCCCCGGTATAGGAAGAGTACTTGAGAATATTTACTGTTGTACCGTTACTGTTGCACTCTATGTAATCGAATCTAGTGATACTCGAAAGACCTTATAATATTATTATGATCATTGGCTTTAAATTATTTATAAAACAGCACTGTATACTTACCTACATAAGTACAATTTATTGTATATAATATGAAATTAAGTTGTAAGTGTTCTGAAGTGCTTTTTTATAATATTAGATATCATGTTACAACTATGAAAAATATGAATTATAAGTCTAAGATTCATTATGATTCTTGTTATGAACTGGCATTATGTTACAGAAAATTGTAATCATCAATTAGATATATATTTGTTGGAATAAAAGTTATATACATTATATAGGTATAATTTTTTTGGCTAGTTCCAATGAACAATATAAAGTAAAAATATCACAATATATAACTAGATGAGCGATATATATGTTAATTAAGTTTGCCAGCAACTTTTTAAAATATAACTTCTAAAAATGTTGCTTATGAAAATGTTGTTAATGAAAATCATGGTTGGAGCAAAAAAAAATATCAATTTAAAATGTTCAGTACTGCACATAAATAAAATACGATGACAATGCATTTAAATTGTAAACTGTCTGAAAACTGACTAATATATAAATAAGTTACAAGTTACTTCTTTTATTTACACCTCTATTTGTAATTCACTAAAGTAATCTCATATTAGAATTGATTAATGCGCCATGATCTTGGCTTATGGATGGTGTCATCATAGCCCTTCTTTCATGACAACCTTACTACTTACGCACAATAATGTAATAACAAAATTTATTTTTTAATTTGTGAACTTCAATAGAACATCAAACGTTCAAATTTGTTGAACAAAATGGACAAAATGTTTTTCGCGGCTGCGGGAATCGAACCCACGGGTTCCGCATTCCACGCTATATTCGCTAAAAAGAAATTCGCGTATTTCATAATGGGACGTATATTATACTTGTTTTGTAAATTATCTTTTCGTCTTTGTTTCAACCTAATACATGCTCCCGTGAGGCGTACCGTAATTTCCCATGGAATGGGTTAGCCGAAGAATGCGGGGGCAGTTTGAGGGTAGTAGAGGTGTAGCCACTCACTCTGTCTTCTGCGACTGAGGTAAAGGCGCAGAGGAAGAGGAGTGTCGGTATTGCGTTGGCTGCTTAGAATAAGAAACAAATCCAAGTTTGTAATTATGCTATCCATTATTCAAATTCACTGAGTGAAGTCTAAGTGAGACGATACTATGAGATATTAGCAGGAGAAATCCTCAAAATAAATTAAAGAGAGAGAACCTAATTTATACCTTACATTAACGTAAGGTACACATTAAATTATTTTTGTGTGTATCCATTAACTAGTTATTTCATTCAGTACATAGGTTTAATAATTAATTATACCTAAGAGATGATTACCTCAATGAGATTATTGGTTAATGCGGACTTGGACATTAGAAAAGATGACATTTAAAAGGTATTTCATAATTATCATATCATTTCAATTAAGTAAAACGCACTATTGTGATGTTTGACGTTTTTGACTGAAGACTATTTTGGCCCATGGTATAAATATTGTAAACTAGAGTTAGTACACTCATATTTGAAGCATTTAAAAATAAATCGTACTATATCAAGGATACAACCTAGCGATTCCAGAGATAGCCTCAGTTTTCATGTCAGCGCCATACAATATTTTCTTTAATAAAATAACTTATCTTTAACACGAAATTGCCTCATCATATTTTATAGTACCTGTAGTAATTACCTGAATCTATTTCAAGCTAAATAAGGACCCATTAAAATTCAAGTCCCTATGTCTATGAAAGGCGATTTTCAGCCCACCATGGGACAGCGATAACATGATAAGCGATTGAAGCTTGAGGCTGATGGCGAGAACTTCAGCATTCTTGTTATCTTCGAACACTTGCTACCATCGGGCAGAGTCGGGGAAGGGAACAAGTAGATATTCTCTGTTTTAAGGTTTCTCACGAAATGCTAGAAGGCAGTGTACGACGGCGAGACATCCTTCATCAGAATATCCCATATTTTATCCCTTTTGAGGCGGTGCTTCATGGCGCGGATTGAGTCAATCCGATATTGATTGGCAAGGCACAGTTGGCTGAGATTTTATCACGCTATATCCGTCTTAAATGGTTGAGGTTCGTAGACAAGCTGGTTTCCAGGGAGTGGAAAACTAATTTCTCCTGTTCGCTTAAGGCAACGAGGGCTCGTCCGTTAGCGTAATTAGTGTAAGAATTCCAAGCAGTGCTTAGAGTTTAAGTCATCAGTTAAGAGCACCGAGTCGCCTAATTTGAGGAGGCTACCTCGATGTGATCATTAACATTCAACTAACTCGGCGATAAATAGAATGAAGCTACTACGGATGATACTGGGAGTGTCGACCACATGGACGGGGTTGGGGGGTGTCAAACCCCACATATTTGTGTCAAATTAGATTGTCAATATTTCATGCACATGAACGGATGATATAATAAGGTAATGAGGAATTGTCCTGGAGTAAATAATCGTTTGAGACACATTGCCTGCAATAGCATTATCTATCATGTCTATCTGTCCTGTGAGGAATTGTTTAATTTCGTCGTTATACAGCGTGTCGTTACCATTGCGACAATAAATGAACACACGTCTAAAGCTACTTGCCAATAATCATAAAAAAATATTAACTTTAAACAAAATCCATAATCAAAAAAAAATATTTTTCAAACAAACTAATTAAGTAAAAAAGAATCAAAATTTGTAACATCCTATACAACTCGCGCCACAGCGTCGCATTACAAGCCTCTCCTTCTTACAGTATGTTTTGTCTCTTTTAAATTCATTCAACCAATTCATATGCTTTGTGACCTTTACAAATGAACTTTACGTTACAGTTTTATACGTAAGGTGTTCAGAAATTCTTTGTTTGGAAAATTTAATAACTCTGTAAATATTGATGTTTGAAGAATGTAAATGTTTAATACAATTTTAAAAAGTTATCCTCTATATGTGTGTTCATTTATTGATATACAACAAACAAGTGATAACGACACGCTGTTTAATGAGTGAGTTTTAAGGAACGTTTGGTAATATAAGTATAGGGTGATGGAAATGCCTTGAGCTGTTTTAATTTAACGTGTAACAAATATATATAATTATCTTATTTAAGGATTCTTCTCAGATTAATACTGAAACATTTTAGAAGACAGTCCAATTTTATAATTTAAGTTGATAATGTAGCCCTTATTAAAAACTTATATCCCAATGACAGTTAATGTATGTCATTTAAAATGTCAAAGTTAATGAAATAAACAAGTTATGTAAATGATGTACACCAGCATAAATAAAATAATGTTCATTTAATTACACCTAGACCGGCTGTTTGCGCTACTTACAACTGCCTTCAATTAAGGCCACGTGACCCTTTATAAACCGAGCTTTGTTAAGTACTCACAGCGGTCAAGCTTATATGTTTGACCTTCTCAAGGTGACCGATATCGCACCGCAGTTCTTCAGTCGGGCCTTAGCTACTGGAGGGTATCATTGTATCGCTCTTAATTTATATAAATCAAAATGAGCATACAAACTGATTCCGATAAGCGCAAGCAGATATCTGTTCGGGGTATCGTTGCTGTTGAAAATGTTACAGAAGTAAAGAAGGCTTTTAATCGTCATGTGCATTATACCTTGGTAAAGGACCGAAATGTCGCTACTCCAAGAGATTATTATTTCGCTCTTGCACATACTGTTCGTGATCATCTTGTTTCACGCTGGATCCGCACTCAACAATATTACTATGAAAAAGATCCCAAGGTAAGAATCTTAGAATCCACTGTTTCAATGCAAGTGCTATTTTTAATGTAGGTACCTTCAATTCCTTTAGTTTATTTTACTATATTTTACTTGATGAGATAACATATGATATCATCAAAGAAAAGAAAAGTAATTTCAAAGAATATATTATTTTTACCAACAATTTTTTAATTAAAATAACATACATTGTTTTTCTTCTGGATGTTAACTACCAAAATTTCGGTTTCTAAAAATCCATGAATGATAGTTTTACTTTTAAACAAACATCTTTTAATCTTTTTATGGAACAATAACCTTTTTATAAGAATTTGTTATTCTTACTTATTTAATATGTTTAATTCAATTTTATTCATTCATTTTTGCAGAGGGTCTACTACTTGTCCTTGGAGTACTATATGGGTCGATCATTGCAAAATACAATGATTAATCTGGGTATCCAGGGCACTGTAGATGAGGCTTTGTATCAGTTGGGCTTAGATATTGAAGAATTAGAGGAACTTGAGGAAGATGCTGGTCTCGGTAACGGGGGACTTGGTCGTTTGGCAGCTTGCTTCCTCGATTCCATGGCTACTCTTGGGTTAGCAGCATATGGCTATGGTATGTATATATAAAGAAGCAATTTAAAATTAAGAAACTAAATAAAGAATGTAATAGTTAAACAACAGTGAAATAAAAGTCAAGATGAAGTTATTATGTGTTTATAGTACTGAAATTTATAATTTATATCTAATTTTTCTTTTTCTTTCTTAAAGCATAATAAAGTATATTCTTGCATCATGATATGAAAAAAATTAAATAACAAACGCACAATTCATGTGGAAACCTACATCTTAAGCATACTTGTTATAAAAAAAATGTTTCAATATGGTGACATGATGATAAGCTTGCCGCTTAGGATGTGTTATTAATTATTTTGTAGATACTTTACATTGACATAGTATACCCAATAGATCTACAAAGCCATAGATTGTAATCTAAAAGGTACAAACGAAGAGGCACTTTTTATTGTGTCAGTGCTGGTGCTCTTTGGGTTGAACAAATTATTAAATTTAAAAAACTAGAAAAATTACATCAAAGTCTGTTATACATATTTAACTAGTTTATAGCTTTGGTTTCTTAGTCACTGAAGATATTGTTTAAGATTAAGGAAAAAAGAATCTGACAAAATTTTATCATTAAGATGTGCCTTTTGCATTTTCGATTTCCTATTTACTTTACGTAGGTACTCTTTTGAATTTGGAATATCATATTTTCAAATCGACGAAATTTTTCCGAGGTACAAATGATCGTACCTAAAATCGAAATTTTCCGTGCTTAAATTAAATTGCTACAATTTTTTTTACAATAATAAATAACTGTAGATCAATTAATTTTAAATATTGATTTAATTGTTATGTATAACTGCATTAATATAATAAAAAGTATTTTTTTGCTTTAGGAAAGCGATCTCTAAAGTAATTAAGACAAGTTGACAAAAGCAACGCTGGCTCATCGCCAATAATTACAAACATACTAATCGAGTCTCCACGAACAGTGAAACGGTTGTTTAAATACCATCAGGGTAATTGAAGACAATTATTAAAAGTGCATATAGGTCGGGAAAAAAGAAATTTTGCGCGAAAAATACGTGGATTTATAGATTGCTGCAATGTACAGAACTGCGGATGGCAGGGAGTTTCTAAATAATGCTACGTAATACAAGCATTTAACCTTAGCTATTAATAAGGTACGTTCGAAAACTCGCTACAGAGTACGTAAACGTTATACGTACGAAGAAAATGTCGTTAGCTTTGGAAAATAAATGTGGTTTTAAAACAAGATCGCTGACAAAACTCTCTGTAACATTACGTGACCATACTACACAAATAACATTTTATTACCATTTTTTCGTTCTATCTATGCATATTCATATATATCAACAAAACAGAATTCGAATATCACGTGTCAGAAAGGTGCTTTATAAACAATTGATAATAGCATACATACAACTTGTTTTCTTGTCTGTATCAATGTTTATTTGTTTTTTTCCATATAAATACGCAAATTTAAATGTGCAATTAAGAACAACATAGATTATTTTCAATTGATTAACTAACGGACGAGAAAGTATTTGCAATCGCACTCGTATAGCGTTAAATAAAATGATTTGTGTAGAGCTACACAAATGATTTTATTTTCTCTCCTAGTCTTCTCTCTCTCTTATTATTCTCAAGAAAAATTAGACTGGATCAACAATTTTCTCACTCGTCAGAGCATCAAGGTCAATCGTCGATGTTGACTGTAATGTAATATAAAAAAAATGTAATATGAAGGATTATCTTACATAACAACACTTATGGGATTAGGACAGCTTGGCCGAGGAAGTACCTTCTTGCTGAAGAACTGTGCAAGGGCAGCGGTCAGCTTTTCATATTTTTTTTATATTTTTCATATCTTTTTAAAAACTTTGCCCTTACTTTCGAATAACCTAATACTGTGTTGTAAGGACGTTTAAAAAAAATAACTTTAACGTGGACAAACACCCAGATGCGAAACAATTATCTGTGTATCAGACAAATAGTTGTCCCGTGTGGGAAACCCTTGGCAACTGCGCCACGGAGTCATCAAAACCGCGGAGCCGCTTGCTTCTTTGAAATAAACGGATATACCTACGCATTGAACGTGTCATTCAACACAGGCATCAGGTACGAGTACGGCATATTCGCGCAGAAGATCGAAAACGGGGAACAGCAGGAGGAGCCCGACGACTGGCTCCGGTTCGGCAACCCGTGGGAGAAGGCGCGCCCAGAGTTCATGCTGCCGGTGAACTTCTACGGGCGTGTTGTCGACACCCCGCAAGGCAAGAAGTGGGTGGACACTCAGGTGCGTGTAACCCGCTAGATTGACAGCGCAGCCTCTCAAACTTATTCGTCTTCGGTCCGTTTTGTGAATGAATTGTTCCGTTTTGTTTTCCTTTTTTCAAACAACAATACCGTTACTGTAGGATTAAATTTCATATGTTGGATGGACGTTTCACAAACATAAAATTCACGTGGACAAACACCCCGTCCCGAAACAATTATATGTGGATCTTACATATATATAGTATAATAGTAATGCGAGAATAGTACCCACGACCCCCGGCGCCGAAGCCAATAACTTGACAACTGCGTCACGGAGTCATCAATTATATCCCGGCGCTCTCTAACATTTTTCGAAATATTCGAAAATATGCAGGTTTCCTCACGATGTTTCCTTCACCGCTGAGTACGTGATAAGTCAGCACTTAAAATTAAATGTTCGTAAGAGCCTCCACTGGGGATTGAACTAAGTTTGCTCGAGTGTATTGAATTAGAAGCGAGCGCCCGGACATGAGCCATCTCGACTTCCTAACAATAGACATCAATAATAAATGTTTTATTATGTGACCAATGGTGGCCTTACCGGTAAATGCGAGTTAAGTTTAAGGTTTTAAGAGTTAAGTTTACGGGCTAAGTTCAAAAACCATTATGTCATAATTGTACGCAGTATATCATACACCATGTATGATATCGTGGTTGTCAGCTGCCACGACTTAAGGCTTGGTGAACCGAGAACGCTTATAGTTGGAGCGTTTTGTTTCTATCTAGCTCATCAGGGAGTATTTAAAGGTTTTCGTGCCTATTTTATCTGTCATAAGAGGGTCCTTCTCAAAAATGCAATACGAGAACTAAACTAAACTAGCAATAACTGTTAGCCTACGTTATCTTGCATAATAGCAATAATTATTATCAGTGTGTTATATTGAACTCCGTTGGGTCAGGTGCGCGATATGTTTTCTTCATAGTGGAGTAAATTCGTATTTATAGAAATTTAGATAATGTGCATTGAAATAACAATTATGTGTCATATTTATACACTTTATACATTTGCCAAAAATTGTGAAAAGAAGACTAACAAATAAAGTGAATAATAAACCCGAAGAAACGTTCAGTTTAAATCAAATTTTTACTGTGGCTGGGCCACGCTGCTGTTGCCGCTGTTGCAGAAATAAATTGGCAGGCTTACCCGGGGAAGTACCGGGACTTCACCGAAGAGTACATACTGTATAAAGGAGTTAATCTGAGGATTTTAAAAATCCTAGGTTGATAACAGGTCACTCAGGACGTTCATCGCGTGCTGGCTTGCCCACTTTTTAAATAAAAAACACTAATTTTGAAAACGTAAATGTTTTCCCAAAATAAAATGCTAAACAAGTGCGATTTTAACGAGACGCCCAAAAATAAAAATCCGTTTGCGGTCATAAAATTATTTGCGTCTCGCTTTGAGTTCATCGACCGGAGGTCAATCGGTGTGTATTTTTACCGGCAGGTGGTGTTCGCGATGCCATACGATAACCCGATCCCCGGTTACAACAACAATGTGGTAAACACGCTGAGGTTATGGTCCGCCAAGAGCCCGATCGATTTCAACCTCAAGTTCTGTGAGTAATGAGAAACGAGTCGTCTATAAAATTGCCTATTTTCATTTAGATACAATAAACTACTGTTATCACATATCAGATAAAGTTAATCTCGGTTTAATCGATTAGTATTCATAAGTAACTACACATAGTTCGTCAAACTTGTGTAGAAAAATTGCTTATCTGCCTATAATTTCGAATTTTGGATAATTTGAGAAATTCCTAACGTTATTATTTTCAGTCAACTCCGGAGACTACATCCAAGCTGTCTTAGACCGAAACGTTGCCGAGAACATTTCTAGAGTGCTTTATCCCAACGACAACTTCTTCGAGGGCAAGGAGTTGCGTCTGAGGCAGGAGTACTTTATGTGCGCGGCTACCCTGCAGGACATCATAAGGAGATACAAGGCGTCCAAATTCGGCTCCCGCGAGGCCGTCAGGACGACGTTCGAGAGCCTTCCCGAAAAGGTGGCAATACAGCTCAACGACACCCACCCCGCTCTAGCCATTCCCGAGCTGCTCAGAATATTGATTGACATCGAGAAAGTTCCGTACGAAGAGGCCTGGAGTCTGGTAGTGAAGTGTTGCGCTTACACCAACCACACGGTGCTTCCCGAGGCGTTGGAGCGATGGCCCGTCTCAATGCTGGAGAACTGCCTGCCGAGGCACATGCAGCTGATATACCACATCAACTTCCTCCACCTGCAAGAGGTGCAGAAGCGCTGGCCAGGCGACACGGACCGCCTGCGGCGCATGTCCCTAATAGAGGAGGAGGGGGAGAAACGCGTCAACATGGCGCACCTGAGCGTGGTGGGCTCGCACGCGGTGAACGGCGTCGCCGCCATCCACTCGGACATCCTCAAGGCGACCATCTTCCGCGACTTCTACGAGATGTGGCCGGAGAAGTTCCAGAACAAGACGAACGGCATCACGCCCAGGCGGTGGCTGCTGCTGTGCAACCCCGGCCTGTCGGACCTGATATGCGACAAGATCGGCGACGAGTGGACCGTCCACCTGGAGAAGTTGCAGCAGCTCAAGCGCTGGTCCAAGGATCCCGCCTTCCAGCGGGCAGTGATGAAGGTGAAGCAGGAGAACAAGCTGCGGCTCGCCTCGCTCATCGAGAGGGACACCGGGATCAAGATCAACCCGGCGTCCATGTTCGACATCCAGGTGAAGCGGATCCACGAGTACAAGCGCCAGCTGCTGAACATCCTGCACGTGATCACTCTTTACAACAGAATCAAGCGCGACCCCACGGCCGCCATCACTCCCCGCACGGTTATGATCGGCGGGAAGGCCGCCCCCGGATACTACATCGCCAAGCAGATCATCGCACTGGCTTGCGCGGTTGGCAACACCGTAAGTGAATCGCGTATTTGCGAAACATCGCTAACAACTTTCTCTAACCCCCTCCCTCTCTCTCTCTCTCTGTATTTTGTAGTCTCACTGCTTCTGCTGTTTCATGATTGTTACCAAATGACAAGACCGGGAAGGATTTCAAGGAAACGTGTTTACAATAGGAACGTTGGTAATTTTGCATTCCGTAACTGGTGAACCGCTTTTACGATTGCCTTATTGCCACCCTTAAAAATACAACAATTTTTATCGTATTTCTTTTTAAAGGATCAATATTATACCTATAAATCGCGTGTGAAGCAAGCAAGATTCGTAGGGTTCTATACCCCATAGTCATGTATGGGTTTATACTCATCATTAGAAAAAATATTATCCTAGTGTCTATAGGTTTATATATCTTACATAAAACTAGTGCAAGCGTTGCTTATCTTGTGATTGGATAACGTCGTGCGAAGATGTCTTGAAGACGTTTATTACGAAACGCACGTCTATCCAGGTGAACAACGATCCGGACGTCGGTGACAAGCTGAAGCTGATATTCCTCGAGAACTACCGTGTAACACTGGCGGAGCGCATCATGCCGGCGGCCGACCTCAGCGAGCAGATCTCCACGGCGGGAACAGAAGCTTCTGGAACTGGCAACATGAAGTTCATGCTCAACGGCGCCCTCACCATCGGTAAGTGGTTCGTTTCCCGAAGCTATATTTCTTTTGGCGCGTTTGCGGATAATTATGAGAGTGAGTTTTCGCGATGTGCGACACCTAAGAGACAACGAAATTTTGTTACCATGGTAACGGATAACAACTTTTTAACATTTACCTATAGTTCCAAGTTGCTCAGGTAGGTAGGTCGTTATCAATTGCGCATTTAATGTATTTTTCACAAACAAATAGTACTGGCACATGGGTTAAAATTTTTTAGTTGTTTTTCTATGGTTACACTAAAAAAGTATAACTTCTCACGTGCGTACATAAGTGACACACGTTGGCGGTTCAGTGTTAACCGTCGCCAATAGACACCTACAGCGCCCGTAGAATTGGAGAAGCACAGGATGTACTGTTGACCCCGATATGTGTAAAATAGTTTCATTTAACCATGGTAATGGTATTACTTACCGTTGCCCTCATTTTAGGCCCTCATATATCGCCATATAACTGAGAAAATAGAACCCTTATAGGTTTCCTTTGTTGTCCGTTCGTTTTTTTGCTAAGAACCCTTTTCTCAGCAATGGGCCTGCCTACTAAAGTCTCTTAGTGTTAAAAACTTTTATAGTATCAAAAATTCTTGTAGTAGTGACGGTAGAATATTTTGTAAATTTTGATATTTTTAAAGTGTTGTAATCAAAATATAGGACCACCTATCACAATATATAGAGTTATGTCTCGTAGACGCGGAGTCGTGAATTTTGGCAATGAGCAACGTTTTATTTATTTATCGCGGAGTTATATTACGTTCTATCATGATAACCTCGACATAGGAACGTCTATGACTGTGTTTACAGTTTTATTTGATAATTCTGCTAATCACTCGCCGTCAAGATGTTTCAACTAATCTAATAAAGTTATTGTTTTAATTATATTGACTAAATAGAATATAGAATTTTTTAACAATGTCAAAGATGTTAAAAAAGTTAGCACAAAAGAATTGTGACATTTTTTCTAATGGGAATTCTTAATGTTACTAACACAGGTTTACTTTTAAGTACAGTTAAATAAATAAATAGACAAAGAACGATGGGTAAAAACGGCTTTATGCAACAGGCACTATGGATGGAGCCAACGTGGAAATGGCGGAAGAAGCCGGTGAGCAGAACATGTTCATTTTCGGCATGAGGGTGGACGATGTTGAGGCACTCCAAAAGCGCGGGTGAGTTTATTCAAAATACATTTCAATTTTAAATTTACATTTACTTTATTAACAGTCAAGTTACAGCAAAAATGTCAGCGAAGTTTGTCTGTTTTACTTAATAGTTGTTTGTGTAAACTGCTGTTGTTGCAAGTGTTAAGTTAAATAAATAAGAAGGTTGCAGGTTTTATAAATATTTAATGCAAGTAATGGATTTATGAAGAACAGAATTACGAAGTGTAAAATAAAATGTTTGTGATATGCGGTTGTGCGTGCACACGGATAAACTAATGAATAGATTTCAATTACTCTTTATTTCTAAGACACTTGGCCCTCATTAAAAAAAAATTATATCTTCATTATTTGAAGTTATAGTAATCTATGATTTTTATAATCACTACGTGTTCAGTGATGTGTGTTTTCTTGCCGTGGAAAAGTGGGGTTAGTTATATAACATGTAAACGTTAGTTTTTGTTGTACATTACGTTGTAATATAGAAGCGTGTAATACTTTGATAAGCAACGCAGGCAAAGTGGCGGGTAATAACTAGTCTCCAATATACGTCGATAAAGCTTCTGCATTCCTCCCATTTTAGTCAACCTAGAAATTAATACCTGAGTAATTAATTAATAGCGTTAGGCAGTCGTGTATAAGACTTACAACGCATAAGAAAGTACATTTTGATCAAGATCTGTCAATCAGATAAGTCAGTTGCCATTGCATAGTAGTCGTGAACGATAAAAAAATCGCCATAAAAGTTAGGTGGGTGCCAGTGTATCGGCCAAATTGGTATTCAAGTTAATGGCTCTAAAGCTAATGCTATTAAAACTCGTTTGAAAACGTCACGTGATTTATGGTTTCTTTATTAAGGCGGTGATAAATCTTTTCCGAATTACTATGCTTTGCCGGCGTTAAAGTATGAAACATAGTTTTAGATGTCCGTGCCAAAAGGTGCGTTATTGAAAAGTACAATGTGATATGGTGTGTTGTACGATTCGTTAAAGGTGTCAAATTTTAAATATGGCCAAGTTCAACGTGAAAATTATTTTTTTTTTTCTTTTTATATTGTTCATTTTAACTTTTATTATTTTGCAGTGTGTCTTGTTCTTGTCTAAAGGGAAAATTCGATAGGAAATGTGTTGTAGTAGTGGGCATGCTCGCTATGAAAATTACCACGGCTTCATAGAAGACGGACACCAAATAGGTGTATTTTCACTTTCGCATTCTGTCTGGTCAGGTGACCGGGACCGTACATATTAAAACGGTTGTTTATGAATCCCGCAGCGCCAAAAGTTTTATTCGTTGTATACAAAAATTCATATTTAAAGTTTCAACTTTAGTGCGCAGTAGGTGCTAGGGTACTAAAATAAGTAATAAATACATATTTCGGGACATATTTTACACGACGTTATCTAGTCCCGAACTAAGCAAAGTTTCTACTATAGATACTAGGTAACTGATAAATATACTAAATTAAACATAATCTTTTGTTAATAAATACATAATAGAAATATATATACATCCAGAAACTAGAAAAACTATATGTTCATCAAACAATATTATTCCAATATTGAGTATCGAACCCACTCCACTGTGGCAGGAGACTGGATCACTATCCACTGCGCCAATAGGGTTGTCCAAAAAAATAATCCTAAAAAAAAGTAAGATTCGACGACTGGCGAATGCTAAAGTCCCGCGTAAAGAGCTCGCCCCTCCCCACCAGGTACAACGCGTACGAGTACTACGAGCGCAACGCCGAGCTGAGGCAGTGCATCGAGCAGATCCGCAGCGGCTTCTTCTCGCCGAGCGATCCCGGCCGCTTCGCCAGCGTGGCCGACGTGCTGCTGCACCACGACCGCTTCCTGCACCTGGCTGACTACGAGGCGTATATCCAGGCCCAGGACAAGGTCTCCGCCGTCTACCAGGTACGCCGCCAACGCTGCCCGTTCGAGATGTTGACATCTCACGCCAACGCTGGCTGGAGTCTTAGTAATAGGGTCTCGTTTTATACTTTGGGTACGGAACTCTAAAAATGAGCTGGACTTGAAATGATCATCATCATTATTTCAGCCCGTTTGAGTCCACTGTTGAACATAGGCCTCCTCCAATGATAAATAACTGATCAACTTGCGTAATTCTTCCTACGCGCACTGAAATTATCTCCAATTGTGTGTGTAATTTCCAACAGAACCAGGCGAAGTGGGCCGAGATGGCTATCGAGAACATCGCGTCTTCCGGAAAGTTCTCCTCCGACCGGACCATAGCGGAGTACGCGCGCGAAATATGGGGCGTGGAGCCCTCCTGGGAGAAGTTGCCCGACCCCCATACGTCCGCTTGAGGGGCAAATATCACGTTTCGTCAACGGCATCAGTAGCGTAGATTAATATTATAACTGTAGCCGATATCTAACCGTAGCCGTTATAATGTTGCCGTTTGAAAATTTTAATATCGTAGTTCTAGTAATTATATACAGTTTCGATCATACATCGCAGCTATCTAATTTGCTCTTCTTAATTCTTAATTATTTATACGTTGAACTGTAAGTTATTTTTTGTTCTTCTTGTCACGTTTGTGTTTGCAACTGTATTTTTAATTCAATAGTTTGCCTATTTTATAAAGTTATACTTAAAATAGATTATATAGAAGTTTTTTTATTGTACCGTTTATGAATACTCAAAATAATAATATTTTTAATACTGTTTATAAATGAATAATATATTAGGGTGCATAATATGTTCAAAACGTTAAAAAAATAATTTAATAAATTATGTTTTTATAGACTCATACAGATTTCTTCGCAGCTTTTATATATAGTGTTGTGCTAATGTTAACTTTACTAATTTCACTATTTTATATTATATACCTAAATATTCCTAAGCATCTTTACACAGAACGTATATTTTAATGGTAGCTCAGCAATTTGTATGTAATGTCTTTGTACTTCTTACATCCATGTTCCTAAAATACTAGATTATTTCTTGTGTTTTGATAGTACGAATTTATTTAAATGTGCCATAAAATTTAGGAAAAGAGTGCCGTGCGTATGAATTTAAGACCAAATTGACATCAATCTATCAAAATGGTTTCGCATTAATAAATAGACTATGTTATTTATGACCTAATCACATTTTATTTAAAGTTATTTATATGTTGAAATTGATAACAAATTTATATGTATTTATCAAGTAAAGATATAGAAATTGTATATGCATAATATACATTTCAGTTTTGAAATCGCAATATTTACAAACTTGGATATATTTTTATAAGAATTTTTCTATCACTGCCATACTTTTATATGTTAAAGCAATCACACAAAAATTATGAAATCAAAATAAACATTATGTATTGAATTTCTGAATAAACAATGTTATATGAGACAATTGTGCGTTATTATTGACATGATCGCATTAAGTAGTAATAAGTGTTTTCATGCTTATAATTATTAACTTAGTATAACTAGTAATAACAAATAGTAATAATTATTTGTTGATAATTATAATAATTATAATTATTTGTTACTACCCTAACTCGTCAAATAACGTGATATGAGACAAATATAAAAACGTTCAGAAAGTGGCGCCGCTTTTTTCTACACGATTCTATACTTACGGTGTAAAACAATTACAACATTTTAATAACAAATAAAAAAAAACACCATCAAATATCTCAAGCACCTTACATTCAGAACATAACAAAGAACATCATACCAAGAAAGTTAATACGGAACCACATGGGAGCAAACCCGAATCTATATCTGTACCGAATCTGCAGTGTCTGTTTGTAATATTAAAATAACCGCTTTTTACTAAATGCATATGGATGTACTCGATACAAATACCAAAATTTTTACAATTTTGTCTGTCTGTCTGCCTGTTTTTTTTTTTTTGGTTAATCTCTAAACGGCTGGAGCCATTTGGACGGGACTTTCACTGACAGATAGCTGATGTAATAAGGTGTAATTGGGGCTACTTTTATTTTAGATTTTTTATTTAAAATTCCACGCGTACGAAGCCGCGGGCACAGCTAGTACATAATAATTATTATTTGTGTTCATAAAGAAATAAATTTCGAGGCAACCATTTTAAAAAATACAACCTCCTTTATTGAAGTCGGCGGAAAAAAATACTTTTTCTCTCATAGAAGAGTTGGCTAAAAGCCTACTGCTGTGACTAGCACCGCCCCCCATGAGACTTTAATATTAATGTCATTATTATAGTAAGTGAAGAACGACTAATGCGTGAACAAAAATGTCTATTGTAATTTAATTGTTTCAAACGCGTGCATACCAAGTCTGGCCATTGAGTACTACTACTTGTACTTTTAAACTGGGTTGTTGTGCCCTAACGAGATTAATTGATTGAGCGTTCTTACAACCTTAGGATGACCAAGTACCAGTTAACAACGATAACGTTTCTTACGATGCAAAATTATCTATGAGGCTCATAAAAACTTTCCCGTGTAGGAATCGAACACACGACCCCTGGCATCAAAGTGAATAGTTTAGCTACTATGCCAATGTAGCATTTGAATGTACCCTAGGCCTCGTTTAATCAAAATAAGGGCCAAACTCCGCTAAGAATATTACAAACCGCGCATCATCTTACGGCACGATAGCGGTTTTGGTAGTGGTTTATGAGCCATAGAAGCTTGCAAAGCAAGTCACTTCTGCAACGAAATTTATAATTACGGTTTTAGTCGAGACTAATGGAAAAAGCATTAATCGTAACGAACGTAAATTAAACCAAAAGTAATGGTAGGTAACTGAACTTTTCATATAAATCACAAAGTAAAAAACTTTAACATATATCTATACTAGCGCCCCGGCGATGTTAAAAAACTTTAACATATATTTTATACTAGCGCCCCGGCTATGCACGGGTTTAATATATTATACATCAATCATAAAAAGTAATAAACCTTTCTCTTGAATCACCACTCTATTTAGTAAAAAAAACCGCATCAAGATCCGTTGCGTAGTTTTAAAGATCTGGCATACATAGGAACAGACAGACAGCGTGACGAATTTATTTTATACTATGTAGTGATATTTTATATTGAATTAATGATATGTTTAAGATTACAAAGGGATTAATTAAATTTTTACGTTATAATTTTAAATTAAATTAATGTAAAAGTAGTCGTGGCGTAAGCCAATGTAGAGTTTTTTCCACTCATATTGATGCACTCACTTTAATTATTCAAAGATATTTTTTAGTCACCACGATCTTCTATATCAAAAGTTCTATTGCTTTTTCTGTGAAATGTCCACCGACATTTCTAGCTTTTCATTATGTGATCGATAAAATGAATGCTCCATCTCTCTATCAATATGTAAGATATATACGAAGGCGCGGTGTAATCCAATAAAATCCATATTTTGTAAGCGATAGAAATCAATATATAAGCTAATGTTAAATAATAACAAATATAAAGACATTACGCCTATGCAAAAAGCGCTTAACCGAAAGATTCTAGTCAAAGGTTGCAAAACCTCATCACTTATCAACTCCCAGGCTCTACAAAGCTCATTTTGTTAATCATTTTGCAATTCACTAAATTGTAATGGAATACACAAGAATATTTAATCTATAGAACCCGTTACACCTTTGCGAACCATTCAATATTCAGCACGTGAAATTGTAAAGAGCCATGCGGATGTGAGCGCAGCGAGGGACGAATCTGCGTGCGCATTTCAAAAGGTCCTGTGCTTTTGGCTCCCTATGGCGTTTCGGCTTTGTGCGTCGGTCTCGATTACGATCGTCCTGTGGAGCGACGTGCGAGAAAGAGACGGTGCGCCGATCGTCCTTGTCGCACGGATGTCATCGGCCGTGTATGTCTCGCCTACAACTCCTACTAGGTAGTAGGTACATAACTCATTCGACGTTGGTAGCTTGGACGGGTCGGTTGTTGCCGCTCGTCTTGTCGCGCGTGTTGTGTCCTTAAGTGTTGTGGCCGCTGCGCTGAACCTCCTTTCTCATCTCGCAGGTAAGGAGACGACATAAGCGAACCTCACGTCTCATTGTGTCTTTTTGTCACATAAATCCGTTTTCGCAAAGAACGCCGGTAGGTCGGACGCTCGGCGGCGATCGATAACGATGTTGTCTTGACCGAGTGTAGGCAATCTCGTTCATATCATATTTTATTCTATTTCCTGATTACATTCACGTCTTAACATTTAAGTTTACTTGAGATTGGTCGGTTACGAAAATGCGTTTTGAACAATAAGAGATATTGTTGCAAAAATAGATTTGCGGTATTTGCTGGCGTCACATTCTGAAAACCTTGATAAAGATAACAAATATTGCGATAATGAAATAATAATATCAACAGACTAAAATAAAGAAGCAAAATAATCACATTTTTCCGAACCTAGTTTTTTTACATCTACGAGAACTCAATAGCATAATATTTTAACCTTTAAGTAATTTGCCTTATAAATATTAAGAAAAATAATTAACGTAGGAAACAATAATACAACATTTTAATAATTTTTTTTACGGTCATAATTAAATAATGATCATCCCACAAGAAATATGAAGTGACAAACAAACTAAGTATATAGGTTCACTTTTATAATTACATAGAAGAGTACTTTTTAATATAAAAACAAAATGGCGTCGCATAATTTGTCGGTTAAATTTAACATATGGCCCACCATTCCCATTTAATTTATGGCCACGCCTTATACCCGTACTGGCTATAATACATGCTCAACTATGAATAGACTAGAATTGAATCTTTCCTATCTACACGTGCTAAATTCCTTAAGAATTCCATTCAGCTAGACCGGCTCCACATGCCTGCATACTGCATAAAATAAATGAGAGTACTACACGCTCTACTATGTAGATAGAGACTAAAATAAAAAATATATCGAAAGCTTTAATAAAAATTATGTACCAATAAACTAAAGTATCTCAATAAAACTCAAAAATTATTATTTTGGGAATACGAATATTTAAATTTGTGAAATTTTTTTTTATAATTGTTTCATGTTGTAAGTTTATAATTTCAGTGCTACTGTTTTCGATATAATTTTTATTACTTCAACCGGAGGTTCGTTGCGATACACTGTGGAACATTCCCCTTTGTAAAAGTACCACAACGTGCATGTAGTCTCCAAAATTACATTTCACCCCTTGAAATGTGCATTGACATAACGACTCATGCTGATGAATAAAATAATCTTTAAAAAAATTACACGCATTTCATTCCTTTAAAAAAATCAAGCTCTTTAAAGATATGTTTAATTTGAAAGTATATAGGTACTTATTATCTTCTTCTTCTTCGTTGCGATTTTTCATTTCTGAAGATCGTGTAACTACAGTCGGTTTCTGTGTGGTGCTCTACTAGAGATCTTTTCCTCTCTACCCTGCGTAACACAATAATTTTTGGAGATTTTCTGGGCCTCTACTGCCAATGTGACCAAAGTAACTGATTGACATATTGTTGTTTTATTGCTTATTTTAAATATACCAAATAAAAGTACGTAGTAAGATAACCAAATATTTTAAATTTGAACAGTGAATGGTCTATTTCCTCTCAAACACGTTCCACTGCAGAAGCAGGTGCAATTGAAACGTTCAAAAGCGGTTTGGGTGAGATTTTTTTTGTAAGCTGCCAGGTATTAGACTACGTCGGTAGATTTTTTGTATTATTTCCACTACTTACCTACTTTTAATTCAGCAAGAAAAAGGAACATACTACTTTCAATTATTAATATATCTATGGACATCAAAAATAATACAATAATAAGTCGTACATTCAATCTAATCAATAATTATTTTTCTCCCTATTTATTTTGGCATAAACAGTGAATATTACAGCAGCATGGATAAGGAATGAATTTAAAGTAATACACAAGGAATGCCAAGAATTATATAATAAAATATAAGGAAATACATAAGACAAAAAGTTCTAGTAAATGTAATGTGTAGCTACTAGAAAGTTTTAGCGGCCTATACTGTAGAATAAGGGTGTTTTAAGGATAATATCCCGTGTAATTTGTTTCTACATTGTGTCGTTCCATTGAAATGTGGATTCCTATAGATATTAATATAATTTATTGAGAGGGTGGGCATAGGAGGGGGATGGAATTTGTCTTAAGGGGCGACAGAGTGAGATGAGGGCGAACTCTTCCCAGACGGCCGACGCCCGCGAGTCAATAATATTCTTCCACATCCTACCTATAACGTACTACTGACGTCTTGCCTATCGACTAAGGTCTCGAGCCATACGCAAACTTCGGAGTGCACATGCACAAAATATTCTGTAACGATATTTTGTTGTAATTTTTCATTGATTATATCGAGTAGATATAAGTGAGAATAACCCTTTAAACTAATTCATAATGCACATCATTTTTTATTTATTTCTTTTGCTACCAATTATTATTGGTTACCACATACTTCGTGAAATGATAAGCTTGCACGAGAGTATGCTTATTGGGTAATCAGGGTTAAGCTAATTAAGATATGTTATCTAAACCTACTACTGAGCATAATTTTTTTTTGTCAGGAAGTACTTTGTACTTAATAACTCATCAACATCTGCGTTGCTCTACCAAATAATTAATTTGCTTAATTAAGGGTAAACTGACTGCGGATAGCAATCCTAACGCCGGTATAATTCTTAAGATTTTCTGCTTACCACACACATTCGCATCAATTCGATCTTGTGATGTGTGAAGAAAATCGTGGAATATTTAGAAGCGGTCGTACAGCTGTACATGTAATATGGCGTCTCAAATGTCAGTCAGCGGTCGGCTTTATTGCAGGGCAACTTCCATTGAAGAACAAATTTGTATTTAATTCATATGTTATAGTAACAAATCATTCATTAAGCTACAGCTACTGCCCTACGTTTTTAATAGCTACTGTCTATGTCAATTGCGTCATCAATTGCTCGACGCAGTGATAAAAAACTTTTTTAGTTTTTAAACAACTTTTGATTAATGAAATAAATATATTCCTTCTCAAATGGAAAATATAAACGACATATAATAAGAAAAAAGGCTTCGACATAATTTACGTAAAATTTTTTCTCATTATTGGACTCTCGCCTTTCCGTCCAGCGAGAATGCGTAGGTTGTGCATTTGCACCTAAAACCGGAATAACTTTTTTTTTACTTTGAACAAGCTGGTTTATAGAGAAGTCTACGGCATAGTCGTAGTACGGCTTACAAAATATATGTTTGGGCTTTAACATATTCGTGCCCTATAAACCTTTTCAGGTTTATGAGGCACGACACTCCTTATCAACAAGTAAGTTCTGTAAGCGTTGTATTTACTTTCGGGATTCTACTGTTAAATTAAAAGCATTACATTCGTTTGGCTGTCCTCGAAATACCATAGTCTTAAAGAGTATTAAACCGGCTCGGTGCAAATCTTGTGTGGCGAAGACGAACCGAACGAAAGCGACAAGGTCATTGTATATCATCAAAATGATACAATGTAATGGGATTTAGTGCAGATTGAAGTGTCTGCTAATGCTCGTATGAGTCGAATTTTAGCTCTGGAATCAACACGAACAAGACAAATGTTTATTACTTAGCTTCGTTATACCACCCAATAATCACTACCCGCTGCCCTCCATCCATATAAAAGTTCTTGTGAAACTCAAAACATAAACTCGGCGTAGCCATTTCTGTATAATGGTGCCCAAAATAGATTTCCCGTCACTCCTTACTGCGTTCACGTTTGCTCCACAATATGGGGTGTAGCCAGAAGTACATGTGGTTAATTGTATTAACTTTCAAGATACTACATGCATTTTTATTTGAACTGTACCGTAAAGATTGGCCGTTTTGAGTGTTCGGATAATGGTAGAGATGAATACCGAAGTCGCATATGATTCAGTCCCAGTTAAAGTAATTGTTGGGAAACGCACTAGGATCTAATTTTAAATTATGTCTACATTAATACCTTTGTTTAAAAACTGTAAATGATGTAATAGATGTAACAATAGTATTTAAATTTTAATTTCAGCTGTCGAGTAATTATACTAATGCTTCGGTTCCCAATATCTTCATTACATGTGCTTAGTTTAATTTGAAATAAAAATAGTTCAAATAATAAATTATTCAGATTTGTGTTATGGCCATTTTAATTATTGCATTTTACTAATGTCAGAGTAAGGCTATCTCAACTATATCTACAAAACACGAATAATTTAGAATAAAATTTTATTTAATATAAATAAATTATATAATTATATATAAAACAAAACAAAGTCAGGTCAGATAAAGAAGTACATGAACGAAAGCTTTTCCCGAATAATTTTGTCGGGATTTAATTAAGATCCCGAAATTATTGCCTGAAATAAAATACGGAAAGAAACTGGCGCGTGTTCTGAAGCAAATGGCCCACTATCACTATATTTTAGTTCATTATAACTACAAAATTTTATCAAGCATATCTGTTGTCGTAGGTTATGGAAACGCGATAGGTTCATATCATTAATCTTTTCGCTTTAATGTTGCAAGTGAACTAGTTCTGGTTTTTGCTATAAATACGAGTATGTACGTGTAGACGCGTAGAGCGTAAGTTTGATAATTTTCGTTATGCATAATACTTTGAAGGAAAAACAACGATGACTCCTTCATTAATAATATTTTCTGTTTATAATACTTGTTTTCATTCTATCCGTTTTCAGTCCTACAAAGGATATGTAGATATATTAACAATTTGTCTAAAATCTACCCCTCGCTAAAAATTTACCTCACGCGACATGTTGCTAAGACCGCCAACTTTACCTCGCTTAATAATTATACTTAACCTTTGAGCGAGAAAAGAATCCGCCCTCTCGTCACCGGTGGGTCGAGGATTTAATTGTTTTAAAAATTCGATTGTAGGAACGAACTTAGTCTCTTCTGCAAAACGTTATTTACATGTTCCACAGTACAAGATATTCATATTAGCGCCATTTTCATTCAAACCATTTTGCTTTGCCGATTGGATTCAACAGCACAAGTAGCAATGTGTATGAGTATAAAACTTGTGTTAGTTATTTTTATGAAACAGAACGGTACTTTGTTCGTTATTTATTGAAAGGCTTTGCACGGAAATTTTCTTTAACATATCTACAAATTACAACCTGTGTTCGTAGCCATGTGTGGGCTTCTCTGTACCAACGGTTCTTGGACCTTCTGCAATACCACAGAGCAATATATCTAACTTTTTAATATTTTATTGTTATCCGTGTATGTGATGTTAATTTTTGATTCGTTTTGTTACAGATTCGGGCTGCGCCCGGCCGCATTGCGGCTAGTGAAGTTTTTGTTTTATTTTATTCACGTCACTTTTGAATTTTTCCCCTGAAAGTGACAAAAGTGATCTGTGTAGTGCTGAGTGACCGTGTGCAATATGCTGTTTTCTGGATTTACCGCCCTCGTGGCACTGCTCTCTATAGGTAAGAACAATTGGGTGAATTTGTTTATTTGTTTGCCAACCTATATTTTACTTATAACGTTAGCATTAAAAATGTTTAATAGCAAAACTAGTAAACCATAGTAATATAAGTTCATATAATAGATTATAGTCAAACTAGCGATCCGCCCCGGTTTCGCACGGGTGCAATATAGATATAAACCTTCCTCTTGAATCACTCTATCTAGTAAAAAAATCGCATTAAGATCCGTTGCGTAGTTTTAAAGATCTAAGCATACATAGGGACAGACAGACAGCGGGCCAAGTTTGTTTTATACTATGTAGGGATGCTAGACTAGTACTCTTAAGCGCGGAACAAAATCGATATTTCAGTCTGGTTCGGAAAACTGAGTCATAGTTTGTAGTTAGCGGTAAAAATCAAATACAAAAACTATTAACCGCGATATCATTACACTTGAAGTTTGTCTTATAATTTTTTAAATGGGTTCATTTTTCATACAGGAGCGTCATAGGTTAATTAAATCATAGACGATGTATTATAAAACCAAATTTAAAAAAATTGTAAAAGTGAAGTTAAGCCTATATATATCCCACTGTTGGGCAAAGGCCTCCTTCGTACAGAGAGTATCAAGGCGTAGTCCACCTCGCGACCCCATCTTTGATTGGCAGACAACATATCTTCGATAGTTTTAGCTGTTATTTTCAAATTATTCAGGTTACCACTGGATGTTTTTCTTCACCGCTGAGTGCGTGAATAGTCAGAACTTAAAATTGCAATTAATAATTTTGTATTAAAAGCGGACGTGACGATTAACTTATGTCAGTAAAAAAAGTAAAGTAACAGCCTATAAATGTCCCACTGCTGGGCAAAGGCTTAGTTTTTAGTTACAAGCCTCAACTATTTTAACGAAAGCAAAAGAATACTGAAAATAAATAATGTTAATTTACAGTACTTATGAATTCAGAAGAGTGGATTCCCACTTCGGTCAGAATTTGATATGGGTACTCGTATCTTAAATTGGTGTATCCATGCAAACCTCGTGCACATCTAGTGATTAATAAAAGAATTATTAGTATAAGTATTTCTAGAAAACTGTGGAAAAAATTAGAAAGCGTCGATAACATCTCCTGTGTAATATAAACAAAGGATGTGTTATCGAAACTTTCTAATTTATCTCCTCTCTTATTATAAGAATAATCATAAATAATTTTATTATAATAAATAATAAGCTTATTATAATGAATAATAAATAATCTTATTGTAACATCTCCTTTGTTTATTCTGAAATAGATAACGGCAGAAATATAAAATAACATATATCGAGTGAATTTGTGTGACTAATTAACGTTTTGCATATTTAGTTGGTTCGTTAAACGCGGGGTCACCAGTCTGCGGGCCGCTTATCAATTCAAGGTGGTTCGCAACCGTCCAGAATGGTCCTGTTAGCGTAGCCGCTCAGTAACACGCTTTAGTGTTAATGGAACTAAATCGTCTCAATTCAAATTCTCACAATTTGAGCTTACAAACATATCTCACGCGAGAACGCCACAGCGCACATAAGGCGTCCATTACAAACAAAGTATTTATTTTATCACCCCTCACCTGTATACCGCGTGACAAAGATGAGATTTTCGTACTTTTTGCTACTTATTAAATAATTTTCAAGCGGCGTAAAAGCATTTCAAAGACTAATATACAGATAGTTTTTTTACTATCATTTCAGCCCGTAACAGTACACTGCGGAACATAGGCCTCCTCCGAGGATTTCCACTTCAAGTTAATGTTCGTTAAAGTAATATACTCTCATAATTAAAATACACAAATCCGGAACGTTTATAAATAGATTATAGAAATACTCGTCCCGCATGATAATACAATGCACCTCCCGCAGCGCCTGTTTATCTAGTCACAGATATTTTTGTCCAAAAACTGCGTAAAAACTGGGTTTCAAAAAAGATTTAAAGCGAATAATATTCTGTGACAATGAATTAAGCCGAAGAAATGTTTTTTACGTGTCCATAAAAATTATCTTAATCTAATCCAAAGATCAAAAGTATATTTATTATCGTTTATTTAATCAAGGACTTGGTTGGTGGAAGAAACTTTAGAATAATGAAGAAGTTATACAAAGAAATTAATTAACATTATTCTCTAAAAGACAGTAAACATTTATGACAACGCAAAAAGGTTTCATTATAATATATGTTACCTCCTTAAAGCTAAACAAAAAACTTATGTATTAGAAACACATTTTGTCCCCAATTTAAGTTTTTTGTAAAACAGAATTTACAAAATTAAAAAGACGAAATTATAGAGCAAAAATTACGTCATTGTTTGATTTCAAACATTGCTGGTTTGTACCTATAATATGTGATAATTGTATCAGAATACTCGTGTAAATTTGCTCCTAGGCACACGCAAAGTAAAAGAATGCTTTTTAAATTAATATTTTTACGGATTTTATCACGTTCAATTTAAATTTCCCGACGTTCCAAATACTATGCAGTCATTTAAACAAAACAATTGCGTTCTGAAAGTGGATTCGAATCTCAACGGCGTCAAATAAGTATTTTTATACTTTTAAGTATTACTTGTAATAATCACTGCCTCATATTTGTGACCAATATCCAACGATAGTCACGTTGGAGACCAAATGAGCTCAGTTAAATAAATGTCTTTGCAGTAAGCTTGGAAATCGCTTTAAAAGACGATAAAGCATAAGCATTTTTGTTAAGAAACTTTTATACTTACAAATCTTTACATTTAATTTGGGAACAGATCTCACATCACAGTAAATTTCTGTTTTAATGCACGCTATTAAAAAATACTGAAACATCGTATTTTAAAACAAGTTTAAATAAAGAAATAAAGAAATATAATAAAGGTCAAATTTTATTACGACTTACGAAACCCGGTATTATACGTGTTATTTCACAAAAACCGGTAAATTTTATCTTTCATTATGTTACCAAAGTTCGTAAGCTATTTTTTGATAGTAGGTTGTATTTTAACAGAATCGAAAGGGACGATCCAAAATGTCTTAAGGCCTAAAGTAGGGAAATAGATTTGGAACGGACTTTCTAACATAGGTTGCACCATTTTATACACTGATTTTATACTAATGTCTGGTAAATAATAAATTGATATAAAAATAAGTAATTTTCTGATATGACGTTGGCTTAAAACCATGTCATAGTAATTTATATCCATACTGCTGAGCAATTTGTAACATTATCACACAGTTTCGTAGTATTCGACTTTAAGCCTTCGATTTCTTTTGTATTATCGATTCATTTTCATTCATTCATTTATTCTGTTTATGAATTTTGGGGCGTTTGCTGGAAAATATAAAATTTTTGCAGCAGAATAAGCTTAATAAATTTCGTTCAAAATTGTTGCGCAACATAGATATTATGTTCCACAATGAAATAAAAAACTCGTCCTACTGTCTTCTAAAACCGAGTGTCTTATATTTTAATATATGGACGAAAACGGAAGGAGAAATCGTTATTGCTGCTGGGATCAATTTTACCGATGTATATCAAGTAACACGAATGTTATACCGTATTGAAGGTTGTTTATGTTATCCGTGAGTTTATTTCTACTGGCATAAACGTTATTCGCCAGCGTGCGGCGCGTTTGGCGAACGAGGCCGCCGGGTCCACAAACGACAAGCTTTAGCCCAAACACCAGATCGTTGGCCTTTTGCCTGGTGCATGGAAGGTCGCGGCCTTGACTCGCACGCCCGCTGTTACTTTGACGGGTTCACAAAAAATTATAATGAAAAAAAGCCTAAAACATAGTATATTTATTTTTTTTGAGAGCAGCATAACGTAATAATTAACCTTATGTCACTCCCACAAATAAAAAGAATCTAGAGAAATGTCATAAGTTTAAATCCGTAAATTTCTTCTTTTGTTCTTTTTTTTTATTTAAACGTTGCTACATTAATTTAAGAAAACATTATCCTGTGTTTGGACGTTTTTGCAAGTGGACAAACACCCAAATGTTAAACAATTATCTATGGATCACACAAATAGTTGTCCCGTGTAGGAATCAAACCTACGACCGCCGACGCCGAAGCCAATACCTTGGCAACTGCGCCACAGAATCTTCAAATAATATATCATTCTTGCGAGATCCTTAGTTCACTTTTTAATATAAGAAGTTTGCAAACTGAAGAAGATGGCGACCTGGCGTATCACCCGATGTTAAGTGATAACCGCCACCCATGGACATTTTCGTGTTGCAAAGGGTTGCAGAGTTGCAGATCCGTCACCACATTTTAAATAAATGTAGACCCGGTTACCGCGGTGGGTTATTAAAAAAGTGTTAATATGTTTGAACTAGTTTCATATGCTTACTCGACGATGTTAATTACGCAGACTATAAATTAAAAATAAAAACGTTCGCCGAAATGTAAACATGTTGACGTATCCAACGCCGCCATTACGCTAACGGACATATTGGTCACGCAACTCCTGTTGGCGTGACAACTATAAAATTATTCATCGGCTGCATAATTACACGCTAACAATGGCCGCGGCTGCTCGGACGCGTGGTCGTTCGATGTCAGCGGATTGCGGAATAACGGAGGTTGTAATATCGAAGCTGCCAAATCGTTAAAACCCGATAAGGATATCTTGCAACGTTCGCCGACACGTTGATGCAATTGTCGAAATGGGGAAACCTCAAAATTCACTTGTAATAAAAAATATAGGTAGTTAAACTATATATCAGTTGTACTAAAATGTATTTACGATCCCAAGTTCTTTGCTGAACACAAAACCTAGTTTCTAGCATAGATGTAGGTGACTTCTTTGTCACCCATTTAGTTGGTAGTGGCATCACGTAATCTATATATATATAAAAATGAATCCATATTTCTCTTGGTCTCGGCATCATGCGTGAACGGCTGGACTGATTTCGTTAATTCTTTTTTTATTATATTCCTTGAAGTAGGAAGATGGTTCTTACGGAGAAAAAAAATTAAAAATTGCCGGAAAAAGTATAAAAACAAC